TCGTGGGCGGGCGAAGGGGGCCGGGGAGGGGTCGTGCTCCCTGCCTTGGCGCCCCCTGGGAGGGGCCACTCTGCCGCGGGTTCGGATCCTGCCGTGCGGCCCCTGATGCTGTCTCTCCCGCAGTGTTCCTGCGATGCACCGGTGGGGAGGTCGGGGCCACTTCCGCTCTGGCCCCTAAAATCGGCCCTTTGGGCTTGGTAAGTGCCGCGGGGGAAGGGGTGACTGGGTCTAGCTCTGGGGCTGGCACGTGCTTCCCGCCTGCTGCTGAAAGCTGCTCAAGGGCAATAATGGGGGTTCAGGCTCATGCCCAGCTTCAGCCACTGGCCATTTAACCAGTGAGTGTGGGTTGAACAGCACATCCCGGGAGGTGGCCCTGCTGGGGCAGGGCAGGGCAGGGATGGGCTTGTGGCCCTGGTACCTGGGAGGCGTCGCTGCCTGCTCTGGGTATAAGCCAGGCTTTTCTGCTGCTCGCCTGCAGCACACGTGCAGCCGCTAAGATGTTTGGCGGTTCCCATGTTACATGATTTAACATCCCTTGTCGAGGGTGATTTTTCTCCCACAGTGAGCTGGCGCCCCGCCTCGCCCAGCTGCATGCCTGCAGATGAGCCATGCGTTGAGGTATCCTAAGCTAGATACCTTTTTAACTACAGGAATCCACGGAGCCCACTTCCCTCTTAGCTGGCGGCTCTGTGCAGCCTTAGTGGTTAGTGTTTGGCTATTGTCAGTGGATGGAAATCGCTCCAAGGTTTGCCTCTTGTACAATGGTGGGGGGTTATCATAGCTGTGAGTTTACCACTCACCTCTGACTGGGCAGAGAGCCAACTTGCAAGACACTGAATTTAGCATATTATTTGTATGACGGGCTCATGTGTGTCCAGCAGTCCCTGCTGCTTCTGCTTCTGGGCTTGTGGCTTGCTCTGCTGGGAGCATCTCTCCATGAGATTGCAGGTAAATGAGTACCTGCTCACACCACTGACCCTGGGTATAGATCATGAAATGTGCATCCTAAATCAAAGAAAAGCATGTTAGGAAAGTCACTCTGACGATGGAAAAATCAATTAAATGCTTGTTCTTGTTTTCAGTCTCCCAAAAAGGTTGGTGATGACATCGCCAAGGCAACAGGTGACTGGAAGGGGCTGAGGATTACCGTGAAACTCACGATCCAGAACAGGCAAGCTCAGGTACTCAATGCCAGAAGGGATGGCTTGGTGGTGGAAGCACCAGGTTTGGAGTACCTGGATTTGCTGGAACCACAAGTGTCAATCCCGGCAGGGTCGACTCAGCCCTTCATCCTTCCGAGGTAGATAAAATGAGTTCCATGCAGTTCTCTGTGTGGGGGTCTTCTGGACGAGACCTTAAAAACGAAGTCCCTCCTAATATCTGTAGGCTCCGGCATGCTGGGGTAGAGCCAAGGCAGGAACTGGCTCTAGCTTGCCATCCAGAGGCAAGTGCATTGCAGTGCAGTGTGACTTGGGGCGGTCCAGGCTGGAGGTGCTGTGTGATGAGTGGAGTGCCTGGAGTCAAAACCAGGCATCAGAGCACTAGTCAAGGTTAATAGAATGGAGAGGAATAAATGGGCTTATCATTCTGTGGGAGTGACAGACGCTGTACTGCCAAGGTGTCTACTGGGAACCGATGTCCGGGGTTCTTTGCCTGAGAATGCCAGGGGGCACGTGGCAAGCCGGGGAACACTGTCTCAGTAATCCTTCAGCTGCTCTGCAGTGTGGCTGTGTGGCTGTAGCCATGTGCCACCATGCCTGTCTTGTATGGCAATGACCGAGGTACTCCCATGGAGAGCTGGGATGGAGCTGTACATCTTTCCATAAAGAACAGACATGTCCCATACACACAGGAATGAGGACTCAGGTATTTTCCAGTACGTTCGTTAATTGTGACTGTTTGCATGAGGTGCAGAATGTGTTTCGTAGGCTCTGTGGGACGACTGACTGGTTCTTCTCTCAAGGATTCTGGGTTTGCTTTCTGGCCTCAGTATCTCCTAAAGAGAACCTCTTTCCCCTCCTTCAGATTGAGGTTGTCCCTTCTGCCTCTGCCCTGATCATCAAAGCCCTCAAGGAGCCTCCTCGGGACAGGAAGAAGCAGAAGAACAGTAAGCGTCCCTCTTAACTTCACTTGGTGACTTGCTAAGTAGTGAGCCTAGCCCGGGTCTGATTGGCTGCCACTTAACCTACCTGCGTTTAGGGTACTCCTGAAAAAGGGAGTGTTTGCCAGCCTTGTAGGGCATTTGTTAGTGTCGGGAAGCCCTTCACGTTTCTAAATCTATCTCAAGAGAAAATTACTCCTGGGATGCAGGAAACCGAAATTGTCGGGTTCCTTGTACTGACACAGCTGGGTGCTTCTCAGGCGTGTGACAGTGACCCCTTGCGCACAGCAAGCCTGAGCGTGACTCCCTTTATAAATTAAAGACCTTTTTATATTAGCGCTTCACCTCCAGCATTTATAGTGGGGCTTATGGTCTCCAGACGGGGTTATGACCCCCAGTTTGAGAACCACTGGATCAGCTAGCGTTTGTCTGGTCTAAAATTCAGTAAAACAGCCACCTGCCACTGTACCTGTCAAGTATGAAATGGCTGGTACAATCCAGTGGTGCGCTGATAGAAAACACCAGCTCAGGAAACAGGGTTATTCTCTCTGTGGGTAACTCTGTGCCGAAGTCTGGGGACAGAGAATAAACCAAGGAAGGAGTGCTGCTTTCTCCGCTCCCAGGGCTGAGCTGTTGAAGGGACTGGGTCAATGCTCCTCTTCTGAGACCTCACTGGTGTTTGCTTTTGTTCAGTTAAACACAGCGGCAGTGTCAGCTTCGATGAGATCGTGAACATTGCACGCCAGATGAGGCACAGGTCCTTGGCCCGCGAGCTCTCTGGTAAGCCTGAATTCAGACAGGCCGCGCAACCCCCCATGTGCCTGTCTACCCAGGAGCTGGCCTGCAGTGCAGCTTTGGGCTCTGTGCCAAAAACTTCAGCCTCTGCTGTACGTAGATTTCCTGGTGAGAAGTGGTGGATTCATGAGCAGTCAGGCAACCTGGCAGAGGCAGAACAGGACTTTTCCCCATGCTCCTGACCCTGTCTCAATGCAGCCTGTTCCTAAGGGCACTAGCTGGGCCTCTGCTGACTGATACCTGGGCATTAGCTTCCTAAAGTACAGTATAAACCAGGGTGGGCAAACTGGCCAGGCCACACCTGACCTGTCAGGACCCAGGATTACCAGTCTGCCAGCTGTGGGTCCATGCTGCTCCCAGGAATGGCTCGCCCCCCCTGCAGCCCTGAGGGTAGGGGAGGGCTCCAAATGCTGCCCTCTGGCAGGCACCATCCCTGCAGCTCCCATTGGCTGGGACAGAGGAACCATGGCTGATGGTACCTGCAGGTGTGGGCAGCTCACGTAGCTGCCTGCCTCTACCCCCGGCTATAATTCCTCTTGAGTAGCTTCGATGTCTGTTCTCAAGATACCTTCGCCTTAGAAGTTGGTCAGAGCCCTTTAACAGGCTTGTCTCACTGGGAAGTTTGACCTGGGGGTACTGAATCTGTGACTGTCCTTCTGGAAGGTCCCATGTTACTGCCTGAAACATGAGTGGCCTCTCTAGGTTCTCCTGGGTGTGTGCATGCTTTGCATTGGCACAGGAGGCCTAGCTTCCAGGACATGCTCGTCATGCCCTCAGCTGTGACTCCTGCTGATGGGCCTCGTGTTCCTCTGGGATGGAGGTTAAGGTGTGTAGAGGTAGATGTGCAATCAACAGATCCCTGAGTCCCCAGACTTGCCTAAAGCTTCCAAAGGGGCCTCTTTCATTTGAAAGTTGTGGGGGCCACTGGGCCCCAGGAGAGGAGCCTCCTTGCAGCCATTCCTCAAACACCTCTGTATGTAACAGACTTCCACCAGGGAGGAGGTGTGCTGAATTGACACGCTGGCTGAAGTAGCGAGTAGAGCCACTTACTCTGATGGAAAAATCTTTGACCCCTTGGCTTGGTCTGTCACTGCTGTGTTGGGAGGGGCTTAAGATGCAATTTTTCTGTTATAGGAACCATAAAGGAGATTCTAGGAACTGCTCAGTCTGTTGGCTGCAGTATTGATGGCAGACATCCTCATGATGTCATTGATGACATCAACAATGGCACAATAGAGTGTCCGGCTGTAAGTTAAACTTCAGATGAAATTGACTAGCCTTGATTATGAATAAGTATTTCTTTATTAATGGGAGGTTTTTTCCAACAGAGCTAAGAAAGAAGCAAAGAAGACTCAGTAAAAAGCTGGTTTGAGTTTTTTGTAACAATTGTAAAACCTGAATAAAACGTGTAGTTGTCTGAGAACGGTCTGCGGCTTACATAGAGGGTTCAGATTGTTTCCTGAAAGTGCAAAATGGTGGAATTTAAACATGATTGATTCCAGATCTACTCTGTGCATTTATATCAAGATGACCAGATTTTTTTCTCCACACACTGAACTAAACTCTACTAGCTGCATTAAAACGAGTTGGCCTTGACAGTCAGTCCCTGCATTGTGGAGTGGGGGAGATGCTACAGAAATGGCCTCCAATTCTAAGAGAAACGGTCCCTCGCGGTGTGGAACACAAGGTACCAGTGTTAGTGATGCTACGTGTAGGCCATGGAGAATGGCTTAAGAGGGCTGGGCTACATACAGTTCTTGGGCTGGATCTGGCCCCCCACCTTAGGCAGGCTCCTTGCTTGCCTCTCCCCACAAGAAATGCAGCAGCTGGGCCCTTTTTCATGACAGCCCAGAGGGGAGAGGCTTCAAGAAATGCCTCTGCCCCCAGCACAATCCCATTGGCTGGTTCCTGGCCAATGGGAGCTGCCTGTTTGAAAAATAACCAGGCAGCACCCAGAGAACCACATCTCTCCAGCTCCTGGTTATTTGTGCCTGCCCTCTGCAGTCTGGTCAGGGAGCCTGCCTCAGACGTGCTGGGCTGGTGGCTGGGAGTAACTCAGGTAAGTTTCCTAGTGACAGCCTCTGGCACCCCAGCCCCTCCCTCCTGCACCCCAATCCTCTGCTCCAGGGAACCTCCTGTCCTAGCTCTCAAACCCCTGCCCCCTCCTGTGCCACAGCCCTGTACCCTTACCCCAGCTCCCTTCTGCACCCAGACCCTGCTCCTTTGTTAATAGAATGAAGCGCTGGCCTTGACCACCTTCCACAATATGGCTCCCTTCAAAACTTATTGTAGGCCGATTGCTTGGCAGCTAGCTCACGTGCCGGTGTGGTTAAGTGATGAACCTCTTCACCTGTGCTAGTGATGAAATGGGATACAGCCCCATTCTGAGATTGCAGGCCTCTGCCCTTGAGTTGAAAGTCACTACTGGATGCCCAGCCAACTTCAAAGTACTTGGACAAATCGAGTTTAGTAACAGGTGTAAAGTGAGCGCTCCGGACTCAGCCTGGGCGGCTGGAGGTTGGACCCAGCCAGCTTAGTATGGAATAAGCACCTTGTCCAATTCAATCGGAGGGGTTTATTGTGACTAAATGTATACAGTGAATGGTCGCACCCTCCAGTTCTAGGAGCAGATGTTGCCTGTTCTCTTCCTAGGTGCACTGGGCTTGTCCTGTCAGAGTAAACAGGTTATTTCACATTAGAATCACCAGCTGGGGGCTGACTGGGTAAAGCTTTGGCTGTAAGTTGGAGCCTCTTGAGATGAAGGTGCTACAGAGGCAGCTGCCACGTAGATGAAGCTGAGCAGGTACTTGGGGGTTGTAGCCCTTGTTCAGAGAGTTGTGAAGGGCCCAGTTTCATGTCTCTTGGGTCTCCTGGTGCCCTGGATGATGATGCTGGGGGAGCTGGGCAGCCGAGCTGAATGCCCCTTCTCAACATCATACGCTGCGGGGCCTGGCCCTGCAAAGAACCCAGCTGCCAGTAAGTTCTGTCTGCTCTGCTCTGGGGACTAAGCCTCCCCCTTAGGTCTGCTCAGTGTTGCAGGTGGATGGTAGAGTGCCCCCCCCCCCACCCCCGGGCGGCTTTTAAGTACTAGATAGGAAAACCACTTTCGTGCACTGTCCATGAATTCGTTACCAGCATGGAAAATGCAGCAGGTAAACTTAGTGTTTTGCCTACAGCTATAGAAGCAAAGGGCCACCTCCTATGGCTGCTACGGCCCTTCTTGATGGGGCTGGGCTGGGCTGGTGAGAGGGACAGCCCCAAGTTGGCATTTGGATGTTTCTGCTGGGAAGCTAGCCTGGCTCAGGAGCCGAAGCCCAAGAATAAGTGAGCCACCTAAAAGTGCAGTGCTGAGCCAGGCTGGGGAATAGCAGGGAGCGAGCGCCAGCTACGGGGAACAGCATTAAAACTCGAGGACGTTGTGGGCACCCTGCCGTGCAGCAGTGACCACGGGCAGCAAGTTACATGGGCTTGTGCTGCCCATGCTCAGCAATATTCAGCCCAGGGCCCTGATTCACCAATATTTGGAGTTAGGTCTCTCCCCTGGCCCCCCTGTGCGTCTGTTCTCCCCCCAGCCCGGCCCTGCCATGCGCAGCTTTCAGTCTGGCTCCCCTTTGCCAGCGCATGCTGCCAGCTGCTGCTGCCATGCGCAGCATTTATTGGTGAGCTGGGAGACACCCGGGCATGATCATAGAATCATAGGACTGGAAGGGACCTCGAGAGGTCATCGAGTCCAGCCCCCCGCCCTCAAGGCAGGACCAAGCTCCGTCTACACCATCCCTGACAGATGTCTATCTAACCTGTTCTTAAATATCTCCAGAGAGGGAGATTCCACCACCTCCCTTGGCAATTTATTCCAATATTTGACCACCCTGACAGTTAGGAATTTTTTCCTAATGTCCAATCTAAACCTCCCCTGCTGCACTTTAAGCCCATTACTCCTTGTCCTGTCCTCAGAAACCAAGAGGAACAAATTTTCTCCTTCCTCCTTGTGACACCCTTTTAGATATTTGAAAACCGCTATCATGTCCCCCCTTAATCTTCTTTTTTCCAAACTAAACAAGCCCAGTTCATGAAGCCTGGCTTCATAGGTCATGTTCTCTAAACCTTTAATCATTCTTGTCGCTCTTCTCTGTACCCTCTCCAATTTCTCCACATCTTTCTTGAAATGTGGCGCCCAGAACTGGACACAGTACTCCAGCTGAGGCCTAACTAGTGCAGAGTAGAGTGGCAGAATGACTTCACGAGTTTTGCTTACAACACACCTGTTGATACAACCTAGAATCATATTTACTTTTTTTGCAACAGCATCACACTGTTGACTCATATTCAACTTGTGGTCCACTATGACCCCTAGATCCCTTTCCGCCATGCTCCTTCCTAGACAGTCACTTCCCATCTTGATGTAATGTCGTAGCCCAGGACTTTAAAACTGCTCAGCGTGGCATTGAGCCATGTGGCCTAGCTCTGTCTTTGGAGTCCGGGGACTTCTGGGGCCCGAGCGCAGACTGTCCCCGCAAAGTGGAAGGCGGAAGGTAAGGGTAGGGGGAAAGGGTGGGAGGCACCTGGAGGGTGCAGGGCTAAGGGAAGGTGCACATGCCAGAGGATTCTGGGGGTGAAGCAGAAGGGCAGACACCTGCAGGGGAGGGACCAGCACCAGAGGAGAGAGGGAAGGCAGGTGTGTAGAGGAAGGTTTTTTTAGGCGAGAGGCTGAGGAGGGGTAGCTCATATGATCAGAGTGGGGCTACTGGAGTAGTGGGCACAGGGGGCAGGTCGCAGGAGGGCTGAGGGCAGTGAGAAGGGCAGGAGTCAGGACAGCAGAGGAGGGTGAGGACTTGGGAGGGCAGCAGGCACCAGGGGAGCTGATGGAGCAAGGGAGGGACACATGGCAGCAGAGAGAAAAGGTAAAGGTTTATAAAATATTAACTTGGGTGCCATAGTGGCACATCCAAACAAGCCACATGAACTCAGTACTGGTGCACAACACAAAATTCATTCTGCTCATGGGAGGAAACTCTTAGGCTATTTCTACACTGGCGGCTTCTTGTGAACAAGTCCGCTCTGTCATGTGTGAGCTGTGCTTTTGCGCAAGAGCATCCATGGCGGTGTGGACGCTCTCTTGCCCAAGAAAGCTCCGACGGCCATTTTAGCCATAGGGGTTTCTTGCACAAGAAATCCCTGCCGAGCGTCCACACTGCCCTCTTGTGCAAGGGAGCTCACACCTGTTAGAAAAGAGCGTAGCTCTTGCGCAAGATGCCCTCTCTTACCACGCCGGACTGTAAATGTCCTTGCTAAAGAGCAGGCGGGCAGTGTGGCTGCTCTGTAGGTTCTTGCACAAGAAGCCGTGAGTGTAGACACAGCCTTAGGGGGAACCCTTCCCCCAGCTCTCTGCCCCCGAGTTAATGTCACACACATTGGGGTTAATGCAATCACAGATTAGTTGCATGCGGGGGGGTTTGGTGGGGGCCAAGCTAATCCCAGTTGGTAGGAGGATGGTGGGAAAAGCCCTGTGAGAGGGGTCACATGACACCTTTTACTTCTGGTCACGTGTCCATCTTGCACCAAGCGTGTTACCTCCAGAGGCCTGGCTAACGGGGGTCGGGGGTGTGGTTAACGGGGCACCACCAAAAATTATACAAACCTGTGGCCCCGGCAGTGACTCTCCCAATGGCCGTTCTCCTGCTGGCCAATGGCAGAGTCCCTGGCGCCGGATTTACTCCTCCTCTGAACAGCTGTCCGCTGCCCAGCCTGTGCTGGCTCCCGCCGGCTCCGAGGGAGAAACTGAGCCGAGAGCTCCTGGGTCTGGGGCTCACAGCCGGGATTAAGGCAGGGCAGCCCCTCCCCTCCACCTTCTCTTTTCATCCCACTTCCACCTTGGCGGGCAGGAGATCCCTGTGTTCCCAGAGCGGGGGCGCGGCGCCCTCGGACGCTGGCTCCTCACAGCGAGCGGCACCTGGACAGTGTGGCCCTACCGCCAGCCAAGGCCGGTCTGCACCTTGCTTGTAGCGACTGTGGGTGGGGGAGGGGAAGCTGTTCTACCAGCATGCAGGTGACTCTGCCAGGGTGGCTTAGCGGCTGTTTCTCAGGCGTGTGGTGCTAACCCCATTTGAACCCCCAGGGAGACCTACTGAGCCAAGCTGCGTGTTGGGCTGTGGGTCTGTTCCCACGTAGAAAGGAACTGAACACTTCCCCGTTCGTGAATGTGGCCCCGAGCTGGCCGCTGCCACCTTTCATCTTGTGTCTGTGTCACTGCGAGTGTCCAGTGACCCCCCTGCTTGATGGCATGGTTCTGCTCCACCTCTTCCCATGGAACAGGGTACGGCCAGGGGAGACCTGCAGTCATGCAGGGAGTGAGGGACGCCAGCGGCTCTCGCTAACTGCTCAGCTTGCATGAAGCGTGGTGCGTGCCGCCAGACAGCAATGATTTAATCGCACAGGGCTTTGCTGACTCTACCTGTGCTTCCCAGATGACTCCCCTGTGGCCGTTTTCGTATGGAGTAAGAAGGTGAGGACTGAAACACCTGGACGTACGCTGGGCTTGTGTTATATTTGTTCGGTGCTGGATCAGCTTGAGCTTCTGGAGGAAGAAAGGGAAAAGTGCAGCAAACATTCCCTTCCCCCAAACTTCCGCCTGCACCCAGCCTCCAACTCAGACCCTGCATCTCCATTAATACCATGGAAGAGCATGGCCCTCCACCACTTCCCAAAATCTTGGAGTGCTCTCCCCTCCCCCCCGTCAAAAATGACGGCCCACCCGCGGGCTAGAGGGTTATAGTAGAATCTCCACTAACTGGGGAGCAGGGTTCTTAAGGCCTCGAGCCGCAGGGACTGCCACTGAGGTCAGTTCAGCCAGACAAGGGACCCCCCTCGCAGTGACGTGGAGGCCGCCAGCTGCCCTGAGAAGGGCCATGGGAGTTGTGCTGGGGAAGCTGGGCAGAGAGCTCTGAGGAGGCCACAGGGAACTCGCGGAGGAGTCAGTGTTACTAGCGGAGCTGTGACAAGGCATGTTGGTGCCATGGGGAGGGAGCGTATTGGGGCACCGCACTATTTGGTGTCATTGTTTTCTGCCTCTCTTGGCTCACCCTGTTTATGGCCCGGATCAGAGCACTTACCTTTGCTGACCAGGCTGAACTTCCCCTTCCTCCCGATGCTGAAGCTCGGGCAGCCTGGCCTGCTGGCCTGCCGGGGGCCCAAGGTCGAGGGCTGCGTGTAGTGGAATGGAGATGGCCACTACCAGAACAGAGTTAGTCTTACCAAAGTATAGAGCCTCCCTGGGCTGCGGGCAGAGGGTTTGGGACACTCCAGGGCTGTGTCTAGACTGGCCAGTTTCTCCATAAAATCAGCCACTTTTCCGGAAAAATTTGCCAGCTGTCTACACTGGCCGCTTGAATTTCTGCAAAAGCACTGACTTCCTACTGTAAGAAATCAGTGCTTCTTGCGGAAATACTATTCTGCTCCCGTTCGGGCAAAAGTCCTTTTGCGCAAAAGGGCCAGTGTAGACAGCTCAGATTTGTTTTGCACAAAAAAGCCCCAATTGCGAAAATGGCGATCGGGGCTTTTTTGCGCAAAAGTGCGTCTAGATTGTGCGGAAAAGTGTCCGTGGCCAAAGTGCTTTTCCGTTAAAAGCATTTCCGGAAAATCATGCCAGTCTAGACGTAGCCCTCGACCCCAGGCAGACACAGCATTCAAGGCCCTGAAGTAGCGTCTTTTCCTCACCTGCAGGCTCTTTGCACCCAGAGGGGTGCGACACACAGAGGCTGGTTCTGGCCCAGCGGGGTGGGGCTGGCCAAGGGCGGCGCATGGGAGAGCCCCACCGCCTGCTTTGTTCCAGCCTGAGCTCTGGGACAGGGAGAGGAATTTGTCAAGGGAACCCAACAGGCATCACCTACGTTGCTCTCCGTGTTGAAATCCGCCTTCCTGGTAAAGGGGCTTTTGCTCTGGAACCAGGATTTCTGCCACGCTCTGCGACCTCCCCCCTCTAGCGAGAACAAACAGCAAGTGTGAGTGGCCTTTGCCCAGGACCCTGCGCTCCTGCTGAGCAGGGGCCTGGGACGACCAGCTGAGAGAACCATCCACGAGGAAGAGCCACGGCTGGCCAGGACCCTGCTCCCCCAGGGCACCTCTGCTGTTTGGACTGGGGTTGGCTGGAGCAGAATGCTGTGGTACTAGCTGCTGGGCATGCTCCCAACCAGGCCCAGCTCATGGAGCACTTGGGGAAGGAGGTAAAGGAGAAAGCCCTGGGACAGCACCCTCCCCTCCCGCTGCTGGAGCCCAGCGGCCGAGGCGGCTGTTGCGCTGGGGGCGTTCATGGACCGGCGGGTTCTCCGCTGTGGGATTTTCTCGGGAGGACAGCCGGTATCGCTCAGCAGGCGGCCGCCCTAGCGTGGGGCGTGTGCTGCGAGGGAAGAAGGGAGCCGCTCATCCCGTCTGGCTGCGGAAGGAGTGGGGCTGACGTGCTCCACGGAGCCTCAGTGAGCAGGATGGTGGCTGCAAGTGGGCCCCGTGGGCAGAGACCAAGGAGCCTCGCAGTCCTGCCACTGCCAAGCCATGTCCCGTGGCAACGGGCCGACCCAGCAACCACCTCCATGGCCCCCCTGGGGACACGGCTGCTCAGTGACAGAGCAGGTCATCGCTGGTACCTCGCGGGGGGGTCTTCCTCCCAAAGGTGTAGGCTGGGGCACTGCTCTCCCTGCAGCTCCTGGGGGGGG